AATGACTTTCCCTTTCTCTTTCTCCATTCGCTGCATACTTCCGTGTACTTGGCTTGGGCAGGAAAAACAAGTGCTGATAAATTAGGTGTTGGAAGCACCCTCCTGCCATGTCAGGATGGAGGACCTGTGGCATACTTTCCTCTAATTACCTGTCATTTTCTTTCTCTCCTTGGGAATGTCAGGAAGCTGTCCAGAAAAATAATTGCTTCACGTGGTGGGTGGGTCAAGACCTCGTCCCAGCTCTCTAGAAGAAAGAGTAAAATACTGCATTCAAATATCTTTCCTGCAAACACTCTTCTATTTTGTTCTTCCCATAATTCCACTGTGCAAACAAGTGGTACAGGTGGGTCAGTCTAAGTATTACCTTCCACTGTGGCGAATGTGATGGGGAATAAATATTAGAAATTTGTGGTCTTTTTCCTGAAGACATGGAAAGTAACACAACATGCTTAATGTAAAGTTAGCCAGGAATAAGAGATTGCATTTTTGTTTATAGGTGAATTAAGAACTACCAAGACTGTGGACTATACCGGAGAGGAGATAGCAAAGGGCTGGCACACTCACAGGTCCCCGAGGGCTCCCCGAGGGCGAGTGTGTCTTTCCAGACCAAAGGCCCCAGTCGCACTTCAGACATGGAGTGTCCCAATCAGCGGTGCCGGCACACTCCCAAGACAGATCAGGGGACAGGTGTCCGGGCGACACCGAAAGGGACTGAGGGGACCGGGAGCCTCTCAAGAACTGCAGACCCAGAAGGGCTTCCCGCAGGCAGGGAAGTGCTGGGCAGGATCCCGACTTCAAGCAGCCTCAGAAAATGCCAGAAGGAAGCCTTAATTTAGGCACAGTTACAAGTCCCCTATGCCTGATGGAGCTGCCTCCCTGGAAGCTACCTGGGCACCAAAAACCCCAGCCTGACAGCAGGGCTGGAGGGGAGACTGGAGGGGAGCAGGGGTCCCAGCAGCCCTGTGGGCTCTCCATGGGCCTGTGCTGGGTGGGGGCTTGCTGGGAAGGAGCTCTTCCAAATGGGATCTGTGGGAGGGGGTGCCCTGCATCTCAGGCCTCTGTCAGAGCCCCCCTTGCACCAGCTGGGTGCACCTCTCCAGAGGGCCTGCACCCCAGGCCACCCCCTGGGACCTGGGTGCCTGCAACAGCCATGAGAAGATGCACCCTCCCTCTGCCCCCACCGTCTGGAGCTGAAGGAGCTCGCAGAGGACTCCTGGGCCTTCACCTCCCGCCCCTCGGCAAACAGGATATCATGAGATATCCAAAGAGCGCCATGGTTTCCAAGAAGGGGCTCAGCTTGGGGAATATCTCCCCATGAAGACACTTGCTTCAGAGACTAAGGGCAGCTCTGCAATGGGCCGTTCACATTCTCAAAGACGTCTGAGGAAGCTCTTCAGAGAAAAAAGAACAATGCAAACAGGAGAGCAGGCCCTGTAAGTTTCGATTTATTTTCAATTAGAGGAGTAAACAGTCAGTTGGAACCTGCAGAACACAGAGCACTTATTACCTTTATAAGTAGAAAAATACTAAAGCTGTTTACATTTGGGGTTTTAAAACAAGAAGCATATAACTGGACCTATCTTTGTGGAAATTTCAAATTCCAGAAACACAGGTAACCTGCCCAAGCAAAACAAAACAGGCCAACATTTCAACTCTTGGCTGCATGAAATACCAGAGTGAGACACCAGCTTCTGCATTTTGTTGGGAAATAGGTGATCCTGGCGTCCAGTGTTGCCAAGTCCCGTCCCTTACTGTGGCCACGTCATGGCTTTCCCAGAACTGGAAAGGCTCTTAGGACCTACAGCAAAAGTTCCCAGCGACGATCTCTTGAAAATGTGGGATCAAAATGTGGAAGACAGCAATGGTGAAGAGATGGTATAAAATACACATTATACACAAAATGCACAGTTAATGAGTAAGCAAATCTTGATAACAAAATCACATGACTTAATGAAAAAAAATTTTAAATACTAAAAAGAAACGACCTTTTATATAAAAATCACTTTACTGTAATAATTGGCATTTCAAATTCCCAGTGATTTCAACAAAATTTCAGAAGGGAGGTTGAGCAAAAGAAAAAATTTATTAATATGCTACATGCTCAGTCTTTCATCACATGGGAGGAGTTAGGAGATACAATTTGTATATGTTGATGGAGAAAAGTATGTTATTATAATTATATATGTGTTTAGGCATTACTGCTAAACTTAAGCATTACTGTTGTAAGTAAACAGAAAATAAGTTAACAAATCAAAAAGACAAAGTGAGCATTGCTTAGGCAATATGGCAAATAGTAAGGAAGGAGATACATTGGAAACTTGAGGGAAACATAAAAAACAGAAATCATAAACTGAGATGACAGAATTAAGACCAAACAGATCAGTTAATATGAAAAAATAAATGCATTATTTTACTAAAAGACAAATTCTCAGACTACAAAAACAAGTACAAACTTGCTTGCGTTCCAGACTCTTTCGCTCAAACATGGCCATCTTAATGGAGTGGCGAGTTCTTGGAAAAAGGAATCCGGGTACTCACGGGACAGAGAACTAGCAGAAAAGCATCCTTCATCTATGCACCCTTCACTCGCTTGGCCAGTGTCTCCTGAATGTCCCCAGGGCATGAGGCTGGCGGTGGGGGGTCCGCTGGTGAACGAGGCGCCATGTCAGCTCTGGGCACAGGGATGTCCTGGAGATGAACACCGAGTGGTTAGAGGTGGTCACTCTCATGCCGTGAAGGGAGGAGCAGGAAGCCCAGCCAGCTCGCTGCCCACCAGGATGAACTCAGCCTGAGGCCGGCAGGGCCTTTCCTGTCTGCCTCGAGCCTTCATGGTGCTGCGTATGAGACAGGTAAGCATAGAACACTGTGGAACTCAGAAGGGCCTTCTTGCTCAAAGTAACCACCAGATTCTAGACGGAGCGCCTCCTGAGGACACAGTGCAAACACACGCGGCCGGCTGAGAGCATGCGAAGTGCTCGTTAAATGGGAAGCTTGATTATTACAACAGGTGGCAGGGATCTGATGGGCTACGAGGAATCTGGGCTTCTCCAAGTTCCCATCACTTGCTCACCAAGGAAGAAAGGAAACGGTGACCTCCTCTGTCAAGAAAGCAGACCACAGTGTGCACTCCAATGACATCTTTTCCCGGTGGGTTTGGGCCACTGTGTAGGCAGTTTGAGAAAGTTTGAAGGATATGTGATAGACAACATGTTCTTCAAACAAAAGAAAGTCACGGTCACCTCTTCTCAAATCGCGTTCTTCCCAGAAAGTGTGCCCCCCAGTAACCTGCACACCATACCTCACGTGCCAGGCCTTCAGGACAATGAGGAGTGCGTTCTGTAGAGCTCTCTGCCATCCCTTGAACTCAGACTTCACTGAACATGATAAACCCTGGGGGACTTTATTACAGTAAGATTTCTAGGACTTGATCTATACCTACAGAAAAGGAATCTCCACTCGGTCCCAGGTCTCACAAGTTCAGGCACTTCTTGGTGCAGCCAGTGTGCTTCCTCTGAGCTGGAGGAAGGGATCCACCCATCCACCCATCCATCCATCTGTCCATCCATCCATCCATCCATCCATCATCTATCCACCCATCCACCCACCCATCCATCCACCCATCCATCATCTATCCATCCATTCATCTTTCCTTCCATTCATCCACCCATGCTTTCATCCATCCATTTATTTATTCAAAAAATATTCATTGAGGGCCTACTAAGTGCTAGGCATAGTACCAGGCAGTGGAGGTAAAACAGTGAACAAAGCAGATAATAACCCTGCCATCAGCGATACCGCTTCTCCGTGAGGGAGAGAGACAACAACAGGATGGCTGAGTTACGTGGTATGTCGGTGGCGATATGCACCGTGGCCCCCAACGCAGGGGACGGGAAATGTGAGGAGGCAGCTGGGATTTTAACAGGAGAGGCTGGGAAAAGTCCCTCTAGGAAGGTAGCATTTTCATTGAAGACTTGAAAGAAAATGTCTTTCTTTCAAGCTGGTCAGGAAGATGCCCATGGGAGAAAGACTCCTGACAGAGGGGCCAGCAATAGAGAGGTCCAGGGCCATGCTGGCCTGGCATGTTCTAGAAATAGAAAGTCAGTTCAGCTGGGCTGGGATGAGTCAGAGAGGTGAGGAGGAGCTGCGTGGTGCAGGCACCGAGGTCACGGGGAGACCTGGGGTTCTGCTCTGGTTGGGAGGAGAAGCCCTTGGGGGGATTGGTGCTGCGGAGCCACAGGACCAGCTTGGCTGCTGGGTTCAGAATAAGCAGAGGGGGTGAGATGGATCCTGGGTAGCCTGGTTAGGAGACAGGTGCACTAATCCCAGTGAAAGGAGCCTGTGTATTATTACAAGGCTGCCACTTACAGGCGGTGCCCACCCAACCCTAGGGGGCGCCATTGCACAAGCGTCATTGCAATGCTGTCGCCATGCTGGGTGCAGGGAGTTGCCGTAGATGGGATGAAAAGTGCTAGGATTCTGGGTCTGTTTGGAAGGTAAGGCCAACCAGGTCCCTTTCACATTGAAAACAGAATCCTCTTTCATCGTTTGCCCCACAGAGCAGGCGCGGTGTAGAGCTTTCATTTCGTTCTCAGAACCAGCAGAATGGCACCGTGTTCCCTGGTTTTGTCATAGGTCATCCATCCCCAAGAGCTTGGGGGAGACAAGAGTGGAAAGTGAGCCCGGATCTCTCTTGGGAGGCGAGGTGCCTAGTAATAGACTGTCACATGTGGTCAGTGACATTGTTGGAATTTGTGTTTTCTGAAGGGAAAAATATTTGGTCTTTGATGGATTTTCTGTTTTATAGACATAACTAATCACAAAGTCTTAAGAAATCAATTCCTCTAATAACGAAAATCATCTATGTTTTGCCAACTGGAAGCACCACTTCTATTTAACAAACACCCTCCCTCCATTGACTGCACTTTTTGGCGCCAGGAGCAAGAATGCTGCCCGTGTGCACAGGTTATAATGTTTCACTAAGGAAACAAGAGACTCTCAGACCAGTGCAGAGCATTAAAGTCTTTTGCTTTATCAAATGGATTCTCATCCAGAAAAGGACCTGACAGTCAACAGTAAAATGTACAAGAACAATTGTTTTCCAAACTTCTGGGCAAGAAACATCTTTTCCAGAGGGTCACAGAATAATCTAGCATCAGAGAATTTTCAGATCACGGGCGGATGTTCACGTAGTCCCATAGCCCTGCCCCCACTGTAGGCCCCCTTCCCAACATGGCCAGGAGATGGGGTTCCGGTCTCTCAGCACCCAGAGGTAGGGTGAGCTGCCTGTGGTTGCCTTCGTGGGCAGTGCCAGCCATAGGAAGTCTGTCCCCCTGTGATTTCCCCATGGCTCAGGTCTGCCCTCTGGAGTCACAGAGATCGAAGAGGCGGACATGGCTGTCAGACGTGAGTGCATCTCACTTTTCTCACCCGGCACTTGGGCAGTGTCTTCATCGGCTGCAGCCTTAGGAGGCAGGCTTAGGAAGGCCTTCCGAAGAAGCCGTTTTTACTGAGGCATTTCGAAGGTCTGTGGTTCCTGCAGACGCCCCCTGTCCTCCCCACACCCGTCACCGTGTCCAGGCGCGTGCCTAGCATGCCTCATTCTTGCCATGGGCTCAAGAGGTGGGGTCACTTTGGGGAAAAAAGTTCCACTTGTTTGAAAACAACAGGGGACTAACACTTGGCTCACCCCAGCTCAGATGTTCAGGCTCTGTTGGAAGAGAAAACCCAGCATCCCGAATCCACCAGGGTCTGGAAGAAATCTCTCAGGACAGAATGGCTCGATTTAAAAATTCTAACTGCCTTTGTCATTTTCCTGCCAGGCCTAACCTCGTACAAATGTGCTTCTAATTAAGCAAGAGCTTGGCTTATCGCTCTCCCACCCTCTTCAGTTCCTGGCAAGTGGGCCAAATAGTCTTAGTTAGCTTCTTAAATTAACGTGGGGGCTGGTGGTGCACAGGGCAGGGGGGCCTTGAAAGGAGCAGGGGTGCCTGCTTCCCTCTGCTTGTTGAGGCCGAGGCCTCGGCCACGGGGTGATGGGGAGCACATTGCCTTTGGTGGGCTGCCCCCGCCAGGGTCGCCAGCAGGACCTCGCCAGGGACTGTGCCCATCTGTGTCCTGACCGGTGGCCAGCGGACTCCAACCTGGATAAATTCAGAGGACACATCTCTCGAGGGAAGAGTGATCCACCAAGAACCTCGTGTCCCAGCTCCAAAGGACGCAGCTGCAGCAAGCTTGGCTTGTGGGGAGTCGTGGCTGTCCTGGAGTCAGAGCCCGGAACAGGGTGTCTGTTCTCCAAAATTACAAAGAAAGAAAGATCAACAGAAACACAAACCGACGTGAGGGGAAGGGCGCTTGTGCAGCCAGCCTGCTGCTCTGTGCAGGAGGAGGCATGAAACCACCTAGAACACACTGTTGGCATCATAGTGGCTGGGGCGGTCCTGCCACACTGGGCTCTGTGACATTTCTCCATTTAAATAAAAATTCCAGCATTTTCTAAGGGGTGTCAATTTAAGGACATTCTTAACAAAATACCCACGTGCACCGACTAAGCCTCCGTGTGGCAGGTCTGACCCCTGTTTTCTTCAAAGGTAAATATTGACCCTCATAATGGGTGAGAACCAGCCACTTCAAGTTGTTGTGAACCCTCCCCAGCAAAGAAATTCTGTGCTCACAAACCGCAGGCCAGGTTTTAAATCCAGACGCCCAAGAGCCTGAGTCTCTCACCACATTAACCTGTAATGTGGCTTCTTGCAAATACTGGTTGGTAACATTGGTGTCCTTTGAATTAGGGATACTGACATCCACCTACATCAGCTGCTGGGTCTAAGGGCTCAGTTGTTTCTGCAGATGCAAACGTTGTATCTGGAATTTGGGAAAATTGTGGCCTCTGTGAGCCTGTGGGCTAAGCCCTGGGGTCCAGGATGCACTTAACAAGTGCAGATGGCGGAAAACTTTGCTCCTAAGGTTTAGGGAATGAACTTGCCTTCATAGGTCGCCTGGACAGAAGTTTATGCGCCAACCCACAGAGGGGTGGTCCTGTATGTATGATGCTGGGATGATTGCTTTGGTGCAGGGTGACAGGCAGTCAGATCAGCAGGGCCCATTAGAAATCCTGCTTCTCTTGGTGAGGCACCTCCAGCCAGGGGTGCTCAGGGCAGGCATACTGTTCCTGGACGGGGGCTGGGGCAGAAGTGAGGTGAGGGGTGGATGAGGTTGATCCCCAGGCCCCGGAACCGCAGCTGTTTGGCATCCCCCCATTTTGCAGTCAAGGCTGAACCAGGGAGAAGAGCAGTCCAGCCTACGTGGGGTGCGCTGTGGCCCCTTTGTGCTCCTGGCTCACCTCTACCCACTCAGTGGGTGGCCCCCTTTGTGGGTGGGACCTGATTATAGCTTCAAGGAGTCCCCTGCAAGGATGTGATTTCTGTCCCGCAGTGATGGCTGGGGCTTCTATTGTTTTCTAGACTGAAACACAACAGACGGATCTGAGCACTAGCCCTCTGACAGAGGGGTATCAGACCCCAACGGAGGGGTGGGGGCAGGGGGAACTGACTCCATGCCCTTATCTTCCAGAGAATTCCTCAGACCACGTGTGCTGTCATCTTTCCCACACAGAGAGCACCACAGCCTGCTTCCCTCGGAGGGCTGCGTGTCCGTGCCAGAGCAAGTGAATCAGAGGAAGGATGTTGTCCGGGACGTGGGCATCCCTTATGCTGCTGCCCCATGGCAGGGCTGTGCTCAGTGAGGGCTCAAAGCCAGTGAATTGGTTCAGTGACCTGGCGCCCAGTTCATCTCTATCCAGCAGGGGCACTCCACTGAGCTGTGTCTACAACATGGGACAGACTTAAAGCATCTCCTAGTTGTCCCCAGTGAAAAATTTCAGAAACTATTTGCCCACCACTCTCCCTGTGACATTGATAGGCTTTCTTTATCTAGTATCCGGACAAGGCTCCCACTGAATAGATGTTTGCAAGTGAATGAGCAACTGGATGGGACTGCTGCTAAGCATTTCCTATTAAAGGGAAGTGGGATGGGGTGAAATGCTTACCACCCAGGCAATGGTGGAAGGAGCCCGACCACCATGCGTCGGCTACGGTTTTCCTCAAATACATCCTAACTTTTCAATTCCTGCAAAAAATTCAACAATAAATACATAGGGCAAAAGACTCATATACATCAGCAATGGCATGATTTCAGATTTTAGAAGCACTTTCCCACACCAAAGCTGGAAAAGGACTTTCTGAGGCTTTAAGAGAGAGAACACGTTAGGCCCAGAGAGATAGCCCACAGCAGGCGACAGCCAGCCCGAGAGACTTTGTGTGCACACGGGCTTCCCGTTGAGCACTCCAAGAGCAAAGCCCGAATAAACACTTAGCGCCCTAAGTTATTCTAAAACACAACGCTTGTTACGATGCAAAATACAACCAGGAGAGCCCTGTCGTCTGGGCGTTGTCCCAGGTGGCTCAACCATTTTGTCATTAAACCACCCACCTGGTTAGAGGACTGTAGTTCTTTTCCTCCTCAGCTAAGGTGACATACTTATCACAATGTCCCCTTCAAAAAGCAAAGATAAGCAGAAGGCGCAAAAGCAGGCAAGGCGTGCAGTGTTTGCTCAGAGATGTTTGCCCTCGCTGACCGAGACGAAGAGGCCTCCGGAGGGGCTGCAAGGATCGCGGCGCTCCCCCTGCTTTCGTCCCAACCAGAAGCCCTGACCCCCGAATACAGGTTGGTATCTTTGTTTTCTGTTGTTTCTGTTTTTAACTATATCAATTTCCTAGAAAAATTAAGTCCCCCACAGCGTTTGTCTCCCATTTTTAATCTGTTATAGGAAAAATGGAATGAAAATGGAGACCCAGTTGTCTCCCAAGGTCTGGATGCTCCCCTGACACGAATCCTGCTTCTGAGCCTATGGGCTCCCTCCTTTGTCTCACATCTGCCTCATGATCCCCCTTTCCTCCAATAAAACTCTCGAGCTTAGGGGCGGCGTTACCATTAGTTCTCTTCCAGATGGACTCGGCAGATTTCAAATGTCAAAATCAGGGAATTCCCCACACAATCATTTTACTGGGGAAAAGAAAAAGAGGAAAGGAGAGAGAGAGAGACAAGAAAGTAAATTAGGCGCAGCTCACATCTTCCACACCCTCTGTCGATGCTAGATTTTGGCCAAGGCTCCTTTCTGCCATGTGCTCTGGGTGTTGAATGATAAACTGAAAGGCTCGTTTCCAGGGTTACGTGACTATTGGCTGATAGCACATCATTTCAAGGGGGTCCATTTTTCTCAGCTCTGCTCAAATCACTTTGGCAAGTTTAATCTCGTCTAACAGTTTTGCTATTTACTGCTGGAATTTCCGTATCTTAAGAGCACCCTGGGAATTTTGCTTAGTGGCTAAAAGATTGACTTATAGCTCAAAACTAGGTGGAAGTGGAGATGTGCAGAAAATATACACAAGGACATATCGCAGCCTTATTATCTGCTCTGAGAGCGGTCCCACGGGCACAGGGATTAATTTCTGCTTTTTAAACTGCGCAGAAGTGACTGAACCTAGAGATTTAAAGCACTCCGAATGCCAGAAGTGGCATGTTTTGCTGGGGGGAGTGGTGGGGGCTGGGGGAAGCACAGCCCTGCGCTCTGTGATTTACAGGTCCTCTGATCTTGGCTGTGTTCCTTCATCTCTTTGAGCTTTCTTTTCCTCGTTTGCAGACGGGGTTGATAAATCCTACCTTGGTGGGGGGGCTGCCCTGGGGACCGAGTGATGACCCCAGGACGCATCGTATCCATAACTCTCTATCTCTGTTTAGAGGTATCTCCATCTCCTTCTCTCTCCAAACCAGTCTCTCTTTATTTCCCTCTTAAAATGTGTCTTAAATGATGCAGCACTTGGGAATCATGAGGGGAGTCAGAGTAACAGTGACCCCTGTCTTCACAGATGGCACAGAGTTGATACAACTTTTTCACCATTTGACTCATCCTATTCTTCCTCATGTCCTAGGAAGAGGCCATCACTACTCTGCCCCCCCGGATGGAGAAAGCACAGTGTCCACTTGGGGGCAGTGACCATGAAACAGCTGGAACACCAGTGCCGGTGACGCCGGTCCTGATGCTGCTATGACAGGGATGGGCCGTGGGGGCCCTGATGCTGACGGCGGCCGTTGCCCACGGAGGCTCCCTGCGCCCAACACGTCCTGGGAAGTGGTCTGGCGTGAACTCAGTCAGTGCTCGCAGCGTCTCATTTGGGACGGCCATTGTCATCCCTATTTTATAACTGAGACCAGCGTGTTCAGAGATGCCCCAGGTCACAGAGCAGGATCCATATCCCATGTGCATAACTCCAGGCTCCATGTCAAACCACGGTCCACCCCTCTTCCTACTACAAGCAAACGCCATTAGAGAAGAAAGATTCCCTTTGCAGAAAATGACATTATAAGGAAGATTTTTAAAGGACGAGAAGGTAAGGCCATTCATCAAATACTTTGGCTGTCTTAAGATCAGACCCTGTGCCGGGCTTTGGGAAGCCCCTGAAGCTGTCACTCAGGTGAGAGATTATGGTGGCCGTGCATATCGGATGCTTCTTTCGTTCCTCGTCTATCACCGTGGCCTTTGGCTACTTGTTCTGCACCAGCTGCCGCTCTGGGCAGCTCTGCGCAGGCTCCAGGCAATCACGCTGGCACAATCTCACAGCTCCTCCCTGCCCACGCGTCACTCCCACCCATGCCCGTGTATGTGCAACTGCAGAAACAAAGGGAATGAAGGTCTCATGGGGTGACCCTTAGACCAGTGGAGGATGGGAGCAGACAGGGAAGTTATTTCCCCTTCCTTCCCCAGGATGGATTGTTCTGAGATGCAGGCATTCTTAGGTCTCTCAGGAAATGGTCCCATAAGGTCCAGTCAGCACATGGTGGTCATCGTGTGCCCCCTGCCCCCTCAAGAATGGCTCTCCCTTTTCCCCCCGGCTCACTTCTCCCCTTATTCACGGTGGTTTTCCTTGGCGTGTATGTCATGCACAGCAGTGACTTACAGGATTCTGCGTCTGGCTCTGCTTTCTGGGGCGCCAGGGCCAAGACACCAGGAGTGAGGTGATGGGAATCGAGGAGGAGAAGGTATGAGCAGTCTAGCAACGTTTAAAAAGTAGAATGACTTGATGAATGGCAGTGAGAGTAAAGGCAGAAAGTCATGGATGGCTTCCAGGTTAAATTTAAGTTAAATGATGCCTTAAAAAATTCACCGTTGGTGTGCTCTTTTTCTACGAATCTGCTTCCATTTATGTAGCAATTCTCCACATCTATCACCCAGCATCTTCTGCACAAGGTGAGTTGGCAATCTGTTTCCCAGCAATGATCCTGTGAAGGGGCTGGTGCTAGAAATAAGCATAACTTATAATATTTGAATAGAGTCCTGTCATTCAGAGGGAATATCTATATTCCTTACCTCATCTAATTCCTATAATACCCCACAAAGTAGAGGGATACAGATTATTGTTGCTGTTTCTATCTTGATAACTCCCAGGCACAGAGACAATATTCTTCTTGGCTAAGAAAAGACAGCTCATTAGGAGGCTGTGGATTTTGACTCTTGGCCCAGTGCTCCTTTGATCTTACAAGGCTCAGGCCCACCACACTCTCTGATTGGTGTTGACAGCTGACGTTCACGGAAGGCTTCCTGTGCTTGACGCTCTGTGAAGTGGTCCAACATATACTCATTCACTTCACGCTCACAGCATCTCATTTGGGAGGACCATTATTATCCCTATTTTATAACAGATCATCACATTCAGAAATGTCCCAGGTCACAGAGCAACAGTAGAGCAGACCAGAATTTTCTTCTGGAGTTCTCCTCTCTTTTCTGATGGACGTACTCACTTTCAGCATAGCAGACACCCCAAGTCTTCATGAACACAGGCGGGCTTGTGATTGCTTTCCTCACTACAAGCCCTTCAGAGATTCTCAAGGGGCATATCTGTGTTTAATTTTGTTTCCTGTACGTAAAAGGAGATATTAAATTGACATTAAATTAATCACCTGAAGAATGTCTAGGATGTAACATTAACGCATGTTAAGTGTGGGGGACGTTTTGGCGGCCTGCTGCCCGTGCTAGACTAGGAGCTCGGCAAAGAGCGTGGCAGCGCCTGGCCTCAGCACCGTCACAGCTGCATTCGGCAGAGCTGGCCACCGAGTGGGGGTCTCACAGGGGTAAGTGCATGCTAGCTGGCCCAAGACCATTCTCAGCACTCGGAGGTTCCCATCCAGGGTATTCTCAGACTCCCTGTACCCGTTTCCTGCTGGAAGCTGAAGGAAATACAAATAGCTCAAAACTCAGCCTAAGAGCCCAGGGGCTTACAGGTTACTGGAGGAGGCAGCCGTTACCCACAGGGGCTCCAAGTCTGGGCCCCTGCGGGCTGCCCCCTCTGTGCCCCACGGAACACAAGGCCATCATCTTACACCAGGACGTCTCTACAGTACTACCTGCTGTTCAATGTCCACTTCCACTGCGTTTCCACCTAAGGTTCTGAGGTCAAGTGCAGAAGCCAGTGTCTGCTGGACCTTCATTCTGGGTCAGTTTCATACATTATACAGTTTTATAACCAGTCCGTGCAAGAATTCCATTTCAGAGAAAAGAAGTCATGGCTCTGAGAGATGACCTTACTGTCCAAGGTCACACAGCTGCTGAGTGGGGGAGGCAGAAATGGATCCGGGTCCCTGATGCTGTGATCAAGCTCAGTTACAGAGAGCAGAGGCCTTCCGGCCAGTTTAGAAAGGGATTTACTTCTGCTCTCAAGTGGACAGAGACTCACTGGGCATGCTGGAAAACATGGTTCTCGGTGAGCTTCCAGGCACGTGCCAGAGAAGTGGCCCGGGAAGCCGCCAGCCAGCTGGGGAGCCACGGTTTCACCACTGCCTCCAGACCCTCAGTAGGACTTGTGTCCTACTTGACTTGCTTCTGAATGCATGTCTCAAGGGAGCACCTATTTTTATATATTAGTTTCAGATGTACAACATAATGATTTGATATTTGTATTGGAGTGCTTCTGATTGGCACAAACTAAGTCACAACCAGAATCCTGGTTGCAAGGGATTATGAGAAATACGGATGTTAGCCTTTACCCTCTGTGGATCAAAAAGGTGCATTAAATAGAGTTAGAGAAGATGCTGAGCAAGGCAAGTGGGGGAGCCGGCCTCAGACGCCACAGTCCGAATGTTAAATGGTGACCAACAGATAGAGAGAGGCCTGCCACACTGTCACTCGGGAGAGGCGGAAGCCCACGGTGACACCCTCCTTCCTAGCCCACCGTCCTTTGTTGTACCCAAAGGCCTTTTCTGCCAGCTTGGTTCCTGACTGTGGTGGACACTCCTGAAGTCCCCATATACACTCTCTCTTCCTTACTTCTGACATCCAGTGCAGGCCCATCCCGTTTTGCTTACCAACACAAGCCAACAAATGCGAGTGTGTCGCCACACGCTCTGGCAGCTAAAGACAGACACCTAATTCTGGCCATGAGGATTTAAGCAGAAGTTTGAGAGGAGAAGCTCCTAGGAAAGCTGTAGTGTTCCTGGTGGATAGGGACACACTGAGCTGGCTTCCCTTTCGAGAGGCATCCTTTCCCTTTCTTCCTGCCTGGAAATGTGAGCAGGTTACCTAGAGGTGGCACACACGTTTAAGGCACATGTGGGCAAAGGCCACATGCTAAGAAGAGGAAGAAGCCAGCAGGAACCTGTGTGCTGATGTCACTCTAGGGACATCTTAACAGCCTTCAACTGCCTGCCTATGGACTTACTGATATGTCAGAAAAATAAAGCCCTATTTAGATGAACTTGTGTCTGTCCAGTTTTCTGGTTTCTGATACTCTAAGCCCCAAAGGGTTTTCTCTGGAATCAGTCTTTTTATACCCAGCCCCATGGCTGATGAAATGTAAGGGCTGGCAAGGGAGTGAGTGGCTGGCCACATATGGCCTTACGGCTGGTCAGCGTTCTATGCGTGTGTCTAGTCTGCGCAGTTCCATTTTAAGCTCCCAGAGTAAGGGGATTATATGCATATTAAAAGGCTTAATATTGAAAATTTTAACAAAACCTTGCCAAATGAATGAATTTGCAGATCCTTTGACAGTGTTTCTGGAACAGTTACCTTTGAAAGTATACTCATTGTATTAAGAATTTGGGGAGAATGGATAGAAAAAGAACAAAATCCTATGGAAAAGTAAAGTTCTTTTATTCTTTTTTAGGTTTACTCTGCAAAACTCAATTCATCTATTGTAATATAAAACACTAGCCTCAACATTTAGTGGCTTTAAACAGCCATCATTTTATTTGTTTTTGATTGTGTGGGCTGGGAGTTCTGGCCAGCTGGTTATTCTGTTTCCTGTGCTGTGGCTGGGAGCACTCCCTGGGCTGAATTCGGCTGGTGCTGGGACTGGGCCAGAACGTCCTAGAGGGCTCCCTATGGTCAGGCACCTGGCTGCTCCTCCAGGGCCCCCCCTTTTCTCTGGCTATGAGGGTTTCCCCACAGCGTGGTGGTGGCAAGGAAGTCAGTCTTCTCAAAGAGTTAAACGTACAAGCCACAAACTTACAGGTTTAGTCTTGGAAGTTGCATGGCATCATTTCGCCACATTCTCTTGGTCAAGAAAGAAAGCTCACAGGGCCTGCCCAGAGTCAAGGGAGGGAGGAAGGGGCTCTACCTCCTAACAGGGAAATAGCGAGGCCGCAGGAGAGAAGAGTGTGTGGGTGGTAGACAGCACTGTCTTCTTCTTAGGAAATCAATCTACCACCCACCCAGCACCTCCCCACGGGTCCAGCCTGCCCTACACATTGCTTCATTTAGCAATTTTTATATGGGAGCAATATTTCTAGCATTCCTACCACATGCGAGTGCTGTGCTAGCCACATTGGCATGGAATTTCTCATTTATTGTGACTTGTATTTTCAAAATGATTTTCTCTAGACTTCAATCTCCGGGTTCACTGAACCATCTGCTGACAGAAAGCAAGGAGCTGGTCAGCCCATAGAACAGGACACAGGATGATTCTGACAGGGGGACCTGTGTAGCTGTCTTTCATAGGCAGGGATAACCCTAAACCTTCTTTTTATTCCTGGGGACCACGGGATACTGACTTGCATTCCTAGAATGGCTCACTTCACACTCGTGGTCATTCAGCCTCCCAGGGGTAGAGGCTTAGCTCTGTAGAGATTCTTTTATTACCGAAAAGAAATCATTTCTATGCCTCTGAATGCCCAATTAAAGCTTGTACAGACAGCAGATATTGGAGGGCCAGCTCCCTGGCAGCCCCCTCCTATTCAATTGTAAAATGGACCCCCTACACCGTTCAGGAACTGCTGGGTGGAGGCAGCCAGTGATGTCTGGACAAGGGTCAATGGTAGACACACCCAGAGGCTTACAGGTGTTTGTGCTAAACAGCTCCTGCGGGACCATCCTGTTTTACCCCTTTTGAAACTCTGGATTGTGATTCAAGAGTAAAGAATAAAACGATACGCAGCCTGTGTACTTCTGAGAAGCCCCACGGCAGTAAACCTGCAGACACAGGGACATTTCACCCTCCAAACAATTACCAAAGTCAGGGTGACATCAGTGGAGTCAACGTTTCCAGAGTCAAAGGGGAAGGTTCTGGAACCTTCTAGCATCTTCATAAGACTTCAGGTAGGTCATGGGAAAGTCAGGAGAAGGCCATGATTTCCTACAGACACAGCTTGCTAAGAAATACCTTTTAAATATTGAAGGTGCTTTAGGAGAAGCTCAGTTGTTTCCAACCACTATTAGTCAGATGAGGAAAGAGCCACACAGACAGAGACGACATGTGCGGAGCAGCACCTGGAACCAGATTTCCTAATGTCCAGCCTAGTCCTCTTCCCAAGTACTCTCCCCAACCCTGACATCTCTGCCTGATCAGCTTTGCTAAGTGGTCCTAAAATGGGGAGAGCAGGAAGAGGGGGTGACAGGTAGCACAGGGACAAGGGTGCCTGGGGCTCTGAGGCACCCTCAGGCTGCAAGCTGGAGGGGATGGTCTCTGACACCTCCTACCCATCACCCGGGTGCAGAGGACAGAGGAGATGTGCCAAAGGCCGTGTGCCAACCCTGATCCAGCCAAGTGCTGGTGGACAGGGCACCTACCCCGCCAGACCCCGGACACATCGCCCAGAAGTACGTCACAGGACCACCTCTGGCTGAAAGGAGATGGGGGGATGTGAGCGTTGGGCCCTTCCAGCCTCCCCTGGAGTCAGGCAAGAGAGAAGCAAGCTGGGATGGGTGTCAGCCTCACCAAAACACAGCACCCACGATGGCTCCCCAGGCTGACCCCAGGCAGTGCCCCTGCCTGGCTAAGGTCAGAAAGCAGCAGATTAAAATGCACACAGGCCCCCCCCACCCCCACTCACACACACAAACTCACACACTCACACACATACACACACATAACAATACACTCTCTCAACTATGAAACACGTTTGAAAGGAAAAGGATTATTTTCCTGTCACCTCCTTCATCTTGTTTCTGGCTTTGGAAAAAGCTGCAGCTTCTCACCTTTGAGGTTTTCCAGCCCGTTATCCACATAGAATAGTTCTATCAACGTGATGGTGGGCAGACATGGTGAGGTGGGCACAAGGAGCCAGACCTGCAATCTCTCAGTTTGGAAATGAACCTCCAGGTCTGGAATGAGGATAAAGATGGTGGTAAAGCAATAGCTGTGTTTCAGGAATGCTCACATTTGTCTGTGATGGTGAAAAAGAGAGGTGGAAAGTTCATGACATCTGTGAAGTTCATGACATCATGACACTGGAAGACAGTGACTAAGGCTGTCTGGGGGGAAAGACCCGCGGGACTTCAGTGGATTCTACACCCAAGGAGCACGACGGGGCCGATGGCTGACGTTGGGTGGAGCGGCGTGAGGCAGACAGCAAGAAGGCTGAGACCAGATGCAGCTGAGCAGGGCCCACCGCAGGTGCGGGGCGGGGCTGCAGAGCCCAGGGACAGTCAGGGCTATTGTAATGGCCGTACCCCAAATACCGTAGCAGGAGGGGTTAGCTGGGCCCAGGGAAGAGGCAGTGGCGTCCTCAGTGCAGAGGCCCTGGTGGTCCCTGGAAGTTGCTGGTGAAGCCAAACCAGGAGAGAGCTGGTGGGGATGGGGGTGGGGCCTCTTGAAGGCCACACCTGTCTCCAAGGAGTCAAGCACCCTAGAGCACAGAGATTTTGCTCTGAGATTTTGTCCTGCAGTGAAATGCTTTGTACCCTTCAAAGCCATTGGCTGAATGGATTGTAAGGTGGTGAGGGGCTGGGGCAGGACAAAGGGAAATGTTGAGGAAAGGTGGGTCCAGGAGGGCAGCGCCCTCTTGACCCTGGACAAATGCTTTCTCCTTTGGGAGACAAAGGGATGAGGTTTTGGATGCAGCACTGAACCAGCTCAGCTGCCCCTCACTCACCCCAGAAGGAGCTTTAAGAAGCGTGGACCTATTCCTGTCTCCGCCTCTTCCCGTCCAACCTCGGGGTGCTGCCGACCTGTAGGTGTGTGGCCTCATCGGTCCCCCAGGCAGTGCTCAGGAAGACAAAGGGCAAAGGCAGATGTCTCCAGGCAGGCCCGGGCTTTGCCAAGCTCTCAGTGGCTCATCCTGGGCTGGTGGGCTGGCAAGAAAGAGCAGGGATTTGGAGCAAGAGCTGAATAAAGGGCCTCAGTGCTGGAACACAAAACACACTGCTATCTGGTTCTCGCCCCCATCCACAGTTGTCCTAAAAACTCACATTTCAGGAAAAAGTACTAAGAGACAATTTTGGAGGAGGGAAGAGATGAGCTGAAACATGAGTGTGAGTTGGCCCCCCGTTTGGGGGATTCGTGTGCCCCCTGAGCTGCTCCCTGCCCTGGCTCTGCGGCACTCAGGGCGCTCTTGGAAACACGACTTGGGATAAGGGCACTCTTTCAAATTGCCTTTTCTGTATGTTTATTTTACACGATATTTTCTGGGCAAATCTTAGTTGTCCCACTTTCATATCAAGCTGACCTCTCCCCTTTGCACTCGAGGGCACCACCGTGAAGTGACTGCAGGGTAATGGATACAGGACGCCATCCCGATGGGGCCTCTTTCCTCAAGGAATATTCCATTTGGGGAGTGAGGAGGATTTTGTTACATCTGCCCGAATGAAAACACTCATCATCACGCAGTTCTGGGCCTCATCTGCCACACGTGCTAAGCTTTCTTGCCTGCTATCCACCTGCTAGGCTGTTGATGGCAGCGCACGGATGCTCACCCCAGAGAGCAGGGCTTCGTGTTGCATATGATCAGGTGTGGGCATGGGTGTTGGCATGGAGGGGGGTCTCAGAGATCCTCAAACACACCGCCAGGCTTCCAGTTTCCTCATAATCGGTCCCGGTGCCTGGCAAAGAAAATGCTCGTAGGTTTAAAAACTTTTAACAACAACCATAAATGACGGCAAAGTTGTTAACAGAAAACTGAGCCCCAAGGCTGGACCCAGACAGCCAAAACTACAGTCTGTTCCGTTAGGTGCCCCCAAGGTATGGAAGTTAGGTCCCACAATCCCCTCTTTCCAAAAAGAGTGTGTGTGAAAATACACCCATTAAAACTCACCTTTTGCCAATTTGAATTTTATTTAAATCACCCGGCACAAAAATGATGGTACATGTTTGTGAGATTCAGGAACCTGGCAATTTTTCTTCTCCTGGGAGAATACAGAAAAACCAGAAAAGCTCCTGTCCTTTCGGACCAGACATTGGCAAACTTTAGTATACACCAAATGCCCCAGGGAGCTTATTAAAATGCAGGTTCTGACTCACTCATTCTGGGCTAGGGCCCGAGGCTGTGCATTTCTACCAAGCTCCCAGGTGACGCAGATGATGCAGGCCCATGGACCACACTTTGAGTAACAAGGGTGAGCATCATGGTCCTAAAAGAGTGGTCCCCAGCAAGCAGCTGCAGCAAAGAGCTGCCTGCGTGTTAGAAATGCAGATTCTCAGGCCTCACCCCAGACCTGCCCACTCAGCAGCTGGTGGGGAGGGGCAGGGCACAGCCATCTGTGTTTTAACAAGTCTGCCCCCCACCCGGGCCAGCTGCTGAAGGCCTGCCGGCTCGGTGCTCACCGTTCGGTACAGTGGTGTTAAACCGAGCTGCAGGGGAAGGAGAGGCGGCCCCAAATACCAGGTAAGCTGTTTTTCTGAAGGACCAGACACTGAGTGGCTGTACAAAAGCCCCAAGAGGAAAGTGGAGCAGAAGTTGTTTGCAGATGGGCCATGGAAGGAGGCTGAGGAATAGTCTAGAACATTCTAGTAGGCCAACCCCTACTGTTTGGCTGGGCAATTGACCTTTTGTGGTTAAGCACTGCCACCCCACCCAGCCCAGCGTATCTTCAGAACAACTGAAGGGTAAGAACCTTTGAAGCTGGTCTACCTTCCTGGAGAGAAAAGCGTCTGATAGAGAAAATAGTTTCTGGTCAGATCAATTCAAGAGAGCACCCCAACTCAGTCTTTGCCCCAGGAAGGCGCAGGCTGTGGAGACAGGGTGATCATCCTTGCCTTAAGGGGCCAAGGCGGAGAAAGGGTGAGCAGGGAGTGGTGAGGGGTGCGGGGTGGAGGCGGAGGGGCAGAGTGAGGGGCTGCCTTGGTGGTTAGCTGAGGACAGGTCACCGTGAAGGACAGAGGGTGGCTCCTGTGTGTATTTCTGGTCCCTGTAGACCTGCATCTTGCCAGCATTTCTCATCCAGATATCCCAGCTGCAGAGCACGTGTGGATTCCGGGAGCTGGGGAACCAGCCGGGGCAGCCTGTGAGAAGCTGAAATTGTTTCCATCATTTCTGTGAAATGTGTGCATATTTTGTCTTATTAAGTATCATATGTTTGTTTTAACATAATAAGCGGCTCAATGCTGAGTTAAATAGGTAATGCTGTATTATTCATGGTTACGTACTAGGGAGGGTGCTCACCAGGCTGAAAGGATGGGCCCAGGCATGGGCAAATGTGGAGAACACACGGTTTTCTGAACAGGTGGAGTTTTCACTGGTGGGGTGTTTTAGGGGAAGAGCTAAGCCCACTTCTCCGCAGGGGCGCGTGGGGGTGGACGGGCAGCTGCTGCCGGATGCTGCGGCAGGCCCCTCTCTCCAGCCCGAGGCAGCTGCATGGCAGGCCACTGCGGGGTCTGGGGCCCATACCCCAGTGCTGAGGGGCTGCCGTGCCAGAAAGGTGCTCAGCTTCTTGGGAACTGAGCAGCAAAAAGAACTTCGGCAATCTGGGGAATTCCTGTCCTCAGAAGCTATCCCCTCTGCCTAGACTTGGAGCCCAAGTGGGTGGGCCTGAGCCTGCTCCGCTGGGGAGCATGGGGGGTCAGCGGGCCAGGAGGAGCTCCCTGATGGCTCAGGTGTGGACCTCCCTCCGCCCTGTTGAGGGTCCAAGACAGCTGCAGCTGCTTGCTGTCCCTGCCAGGACACTCGGGGACAGACAGGCACCCTAGAGGCCCTTCTCTCCAGCTGAAGGACAGCAGAGGCTGCAGGGGTGGGGAGCCAGTTCAGGGCACATGGCAGGAAGGGGTGAGGCCGGCTCACACAGAGGGGCCCCGGCTGCACGGAGGGCTCCCAGCCACAGGAGCCCCACTAAACCAGCTCAGGAAACCGAGCTCCTGGCCGGCCTTGCTTCGGGTGGGAGGACAGCCTTGGGGAGGCGCCCCAAATGCTGACAGCCTGGCTTTGGAAAGACAAAAATTTCCGCAGCAAAGCCTCCTCCCTCTGACCTTCTCACCTCCCAGCTGGAGGGCAGGCCAGGTATCACTGGAAACACGTGTTATTTGTAGCAGACGGGCGTTCGGGCTTTCTGGAAGTGGATTTATAGACTACAGCCCAGCCCTGCTCTTTGAAAGCCAGGCCCCCGTGGGGTCACCCACCTTCCTTCCTGGGAGGGGCCTGAGCCCTCCTGGGCCGTACGACTGGACAGACACAGGGCCAGCGGCTGACACCGCACTTCCAGGCCTCGGTGACATTCGGCAGAGCCCAAGGACCAGAAAAGCATTTGATCAGAACTCGGCCTATTGCTGTGTTGTTTCTGAAGTTGATGCAACACAGGTTCCGAGCCAATAAAAACAAAAATCAAAGCACCCTCATAACTGACCACAAGTTCACGTTTTCCTGGTTCACTCCTACCCAGGAAGGGGGTGTTGCTCAGGGTCGCACATTTTGATGAGCATCAGCTGCCCCTGCAGGGCTAACCCAGGCCCCACCCTCAGAGTTTCTGATGCAGGACGGTAGCCTGGGCCCTGAGAGTCTACATTTCTAGAGAGTTCCCAGGTGATGCTGCTCCTGTGCCCCAGGGACCACACTGTGAGAACCACCGCTCTGCGGCAAGCACACTGCCCCCACCCTCCTGCCCATGGTCTTGAAGGGTCATCTCTCATTTCAGTCTTTCCCAGGGTGACATTTCCCCCACACGCCTGAGGTAGCCCGGGGGCTGCTCATTTCTGCAGGCCTGTGATGTTCCTGAGCCAAAGTCCTCAAACAGGAATCAGGGTCTCAGAGCTTCTCCAGCGTCCGCCGAGGCCACCAGGAGGTATTGCAAGAGCATTGCCTGGCCATGCCCATCGGGACTGCCTTTCCCGCCTCCGACGTGAGTTAGGAATGCCAGCGGGGCCTGCAGCGGCCAGGGACAGGGGACATCATCCAGACACTAGGAAATCCTACTCAGAAGGCCCCGAGCTCTTCCCCTCTGACCACAAGCTCCTTCAAGCAGCGCCGTTTCCCCACGCACGGGAAGAATCCTAGAGGGAGGCAGGCAGAGAGGGAGTTCATTTGGGAAACAGAGTTTTTTGTTCTTCTCCCAAGAAAGACAAAAGCAATTTTTGAAATTATCAGATGGAAGTAAGCATGAAAATAGAATGAACATTTAGCTTTTTTCCCAAAAGGCACTGAATGGTGAATGAAAAGGCAGTTTAGTAATAGACAAAATAAGGAAATTTTGTTCCCCATAAGTACACATCTCAGTGTGTGTTGGCCTTTCTCTGGCCTTGCTTTGACTGGTGGCTGTTTCTCCAGGAGCCTGACAGCCACTGACCAGCCTTCCTGGCTTGGCCAGCAAACGTCACTGGACATTTAAAGGGAAGTGGATTGTTTTCTATTGGAATTGCAGCGGTTTGGGAAAGAGGGTTTATCCCAGGAAACGGGAGGCGGGTGTCGCAGGGGACCAGTCTCAGCTCTAGAGAAAGCCTCAGAAAAGCCCTGACTCTCTGCTCTGGAGGCCCCTGGGGCTCCACCAGGATGGGCTCACGATGGGATGTATTCCCAGGAATGGAACACCTTAGCCTCCAAAAAGAGTTATTTAGAATTGAGCATTTACATTTTGGGAGGTGTCTGCCAGCTATTTACTTTTTCACAGGATTCCTACTGAGGCAGCCTTGCCAGCAAAAATGGATAATTGTTCAAGAAGAACAGATTGCTTCTTGAAACCTGCTCCCCAACCCACAACTGCAGCGGACATTGGCAAGAGGGGCACTCATCTTCCTCCCGACCGGAAGCATTTGCCTAAAAGCACTGTCAGCTCACAAAGGCCCGAGTTACAGGGAAAGAGGAAAGATCCCAAGATCTCAGAACTGAGGAAAGACCTCTCTAGCCTGTTTTTGGGTGTTCAGTGCTGTGGGATGGGACCTTCACCCACCCCCTCCATCCCAGTAATCCCCGGGCCACTACTCTATGCAGAGCTTTGCTGGCATCTCTGCAAACATGAACAACTGCCTGCTCCTGTTCACATTCCAAAACCCTGCCTCGAATCTGGAAGCCTGTGAAAGTGCTAATACTATAAAGCTCACATTCACGGTGGGGCTCTTCCCCTGGTACCAGTGTGTCTCCTGTCCAGGCAGCTGCATCCCAAACTTCCACATCCCTTTTCTAAGATTCAAAAACAGGTGTGTTTGTACAGTCTGACCTCTTCCCTGGCCATGGGCTCCGGCCAACAGGTGAGTCTGGGGAGGAGGAGGCATGGGGTGGGAACGTGGCTCTAGGCGAACAGGTTCCCTCCAGCCACCTGTCAAACCAGTGGCCAGGGATACTACCTGGCCGCAGAGGCCCAGCCTCCACTGACCCCAAAGGCCCTCTTCTTCCTAAAGTGGCAGGGACTCGAGGATGGTTCAGGTGATGTGCGGTGGCAGGGAGGGCACATGCCTGCTCTCTGTGCAGCCTTCCTTAGGTCAAAGGTTTAATTTTGAGATAAATGAAGACACACTTCCAGTTGTAAAAACACTATGGACAGAGCCCACAGACCTTCACCGGTTGCCCCAGCGACATCACCTCGCTTGACTTTCATACAGCATCACAACCAGACAATTTCCTGGGGCCGTTTTATGCAGCCTGAGCCATGCACTTTCCGGACATCCTTTTCTCGTTACACTT